GTATGTATGTATGTATGTATGTATGTATGTGTGTGTGTGCATGTTCGTATGTATGTGGATGTATGTGTGTACTTAGTGCCTATATGTGTCTGGATTGTATGCGTGTGTGTTTTAGAGCGTGTGTAAGTGAGTCATTGGGCTTGTGTGTGTATGTGTGTTCGCGCGTGAGCGTGCGTACATATTTTACCAGCCATGCTTTTGTTTTTGACTTCATAAATATAATATGCATATTATTACATGAATATAACATGCTTTATTGATGAAATTCAACTGCTGTCTGAAAGATGGAAGTTTGAAAGGGCCGAATGTAAGACAGGCCTGCGTGCCTAATTTGTAACCCTTTGAAAATAAAGTTCGTTCGTTCGTTCGTTCGTTCTATCTATCTATCTATCTATCTATCTATCTATCTATCTATCTATCTATCTAATCTATCTATCTATCTATCTATCTATCTATCTATCTATCTATCTATCTATCTATCTATCTATCTATCTATCTATCTATCTATCTATCTATCTATCTATCTATCTATCTATATCTATCTATCTATCTATATCTATCTATCTATCTATCTATCTATCTATCTATCTATCTATCTATCTATCTATCTATCTATCTATCTATCTATCTATCTATCTATCTATCTATCTATCTATCTATCTATCTATCTATCTATCTATCTATCTATCTATCTATCTATCTATCTATCTATCTAATCTATCTATCTATCTATCTAATCTATCTATCTATCTATCTAATCTATCTATCTATCTATCTATCTATCTATCTATCTATCTATCTATCTATCTATCTATCTATCTATCTATCTATCTATCTATCTATCTATCTATCTATCTATCTATCTATCTATCTATCTATCTATCTATCTATCTATCTATCTATCTATCTATCTATCTATCTATCTATCTATCTATCTATCTATCTATCTATCTATCTATCTATCTATCTATCTATCTATCTATCTATCTATCTATCTATCTATCTATCTATCTATATCTATCTATCTATCTATCTATCTATCTATCTATCTATCTATCTATCTATCTATCTATCTATCTATCTATCTATCTATCTATCTATCTATCTATCTATCTATCTATCTATCTATCTATCTATCTATCTATCTATATCTATCTATCTATCTATCTATCTATCTATCTATCTATCTATCTATCTATCTATCTATCTATCTATCTATCTATCTATCTATCTTGTCCACTGTGTCATTCATCCTCTTGTCCACTGTGTCATTCATCCTCTTGTCCACTGTGTCATTCATCATATTTTCCACTGTGTCATTCATCCTCTTGTCCACTGTGTCATTCACCCTCTTGTCCACTGTGTCATTCACCCTCTTGTCCACTGTGTCATTTACCCTCTTGTCCACTATGTCATTCATCATCTTGTCCACTGTATCATTCATCCTCTTGTCCACTGTGTCATTCATCCTCTTGTCCACTGTGCCATTCATCATTGTGTCCAATGTGTCATTCATCCTCTTGTCCACTGTGTAATTCACCCTCTTGTCCACTGTGTCATTCATCCTCTTGTCCACTGTGTCATTCATCCTCTTGTCCACTGTGTCATTCATCCTCTTGTCCACTGTGTCATTGATCCTCTTGTCCACTGTGTCATTCATCCTCTTGTCCACTGTGTCATTCATCCCCTTGTCCACTGTGTCATTCATCCTCTTGTCCACTGTGTCATTCATCATATTTTCCACTGTGTCATTCATCCTCTTGTCCATTGTGTCATTCACCCTCTTGTCCACTGTGTCATTCATCCTCTTGTCCACTGTGTCATTCATCCTCTTGTCCACTGTGTCATTCACCCTCTTGTCCACTGTGTCATTCACCCTCTTGTCAACTGTGTCATTCACCCTCTTGTCCACTATGTCATTCATCCTCTCGTACACTGTGTCATTCATCCTCTTGTCCACAGTGTCAATCATCATTGTGTCCACTGTGTCATTCATCCTCTTGTCCACTGTGTCATTCATCCTCTTGTCCACTGTGTCATTCACCCTCTTGTCCACTGTGTCATTCATCCTTTTGTCCACTGTGTCATTCATTCTCTTGTCCACTATGTCATTCATCCTCTTGTCCACTGTGTCATTTATCCTCTTGTCCACTGTGTCATTCACCCTCTTGTCCACTGTGTCATTCATCCTCTTGTCCACTGTGTCATTCACCCTCTTATCCACTGTGTCATTCATCCTCTCGTTCAGTGTGTCATTCACCCTCTTGTCCACTGTGTCATTCATCCTCTTGTACACTGTGTCATTCATCCTCTTGTCCACTGTGTCATTCATCCTCTTGTCCACTTTGTCATTCATCCTCTCGTTCAGTGTGTCATTCACCCTCTTGTCCACTGTGTCATTCATCCTCTTGTCCACTGTGTCATTCCTCCTCTCGTTCAGTGTGTCGTTCACCCTCTTGTTCAGTGTGCTATTCATCCTCTTGTTCAGTTTGCCATTCATTTTCTTTTGTCCACTGTGTCATTTATCCATCTTTTTTGTGACTATGTTGAACCCTCGGCACATGTGGCTTAGGCGTTGCGAGCTCGTATCGTAATGCCAGGGTGCCGGGTTCGATCCCTGATGCAGGCCATTTGGTAGCAAAACGTTTTGCGTTGGTTTTAACAGCGGTACCGAGAGCTGACTGTTTAGAAAGCAATGGCAAACTAATAGACATAAATTTGACACAACAGCCAAAAAAAAAAAAAAAAGCCTGTGTTGGTTTTGCAACGTCCTGTAAAGGATACGTAACAAACTAAACTTGTTTTATTCATTATGCCACTGTGTACATTTACAAGCGAGCGCACACACGCACGACACACACACACTATATATGTGTGTGTGTGTGTGTGTGTGTGTGTATATATAATCCTTCGAAGTCTGAGAGCATCTGCCTGAGAGGCAAGGAACCAACAGTCTACACTCAAGTGTGTCAGGTCTGTCAAGCGGATGCACACGCAACACTCAGGTTTTGGAACAGGAATGCAGTCCAGAAGTGGACGAACAACCAGAACTTTCCACCAGAGTTTACAGCTGATGAATGCAAAGAAAAAGAAGAAGATATATATAAAACAAAATAAAACTGTGGGCTGGAAGGTAGTGAGTTCGGGTTCTAATGGTACCGGAATTTCTTCAAAAATGACCTTAGCTCCCAGGTCGACCCAGCCTTGAGTGGATGTCAGATGGAGTCATGGGAAGTAAAGGCAGCCGGTGTGATGCTGAGCACATCACCCACCAGGTGCCGATTGGTCTATAAAATATAGGTCTAGCCCTATATGCCCAATACGCCTGAAGGCGTAGAAAAGGTCATTTACTATATATATATATATATATATATATATATATATATATATATATATATATATATATATATATACATACCCTAGCAATCGGACTTTTCTTTCCCCCGATCCATTGGCTGGCATACCGAATACAACCTTTTTCCCCAAGAGAATAAGTTAGCTCACAACGGGTATCGATCGTTTCCCCACCTCTAGTGTTCTTAGAAAATAAAAAAAAATTTTTAAAAATCGACACCTTCTCGGAATCACGAATCCGCCCATGTAAAGTTCACGCGGCTTAAAGACATTTAATTTATGACGCCATTCAGTGGATTACAGAAATGACTCCAAGGGCGTTGATGTGTGAGTTTTGTTCTTGAGGCTACTCGCTGGTTACTCCAAGGACTCAGAGGGTGTTAATTAATGTGTGAGCTTTCTTGATGAGATCTCTCGTGGGTTAAAGGATTGACTCAGGGACGTTTGATGTGTGAGCTTTCTTGTTGAGATCTTTTGTGGGTTACAGCAATGACACAAAGAGTGTTGATGTGTGAGCTTTCTTATTGACACCTCTTGTGCGTGGCAGCTCTGACTCACAAGGCGTTTGATGTGTGAGCTTTTTTGTTGAGACCTTTCGATGCCTGCCTTTTAATAAAATTATTGTGGTATGCAGGTTAAAGCTACATTGTAAAGATTTAAAAAAAAAGGAAGAGCATTTTAGGCACTAAATCTATGTCATTTGGGGTTTAGAAAATAATTCTTGCTTACTAAATAAACCATGTTTTAACATATGGCTGTGAATGCTGGACAATTAATAATCAAGCCAAACATTTTGTAGGCCTCTGAGGAGTGGTTATAAGAACTATTCTTAGAAATCCTTCTACAGTCAACATGTTTTGAAATAGGCGGGGGCTCTTAAACAACTTATCACAAACATAAGAGAGAGAGAGAGAGAGAGAGAGAGAGAGAGAGAGAGAGAGAGAGAGAGAGAGAGAGAGAGAGAGAGAGAGAGAGAGAGAGAGAGAGAGAGAGAGTCATAATATTATTGGTCATGTTATGAGAAGAGAGAAACAGTAACATGTTGTAACTGCTAGAATCGAGAATGCCTTTCATTTGTGCAGCTGCTGACGTTTTGTTTAATACGACTGGTAGCCGGTTTACGTGTAAGCTGGTGAAATACCTTATGTAAGAGTTCTACGTGTGCATAGTAACAAAAGTATCGTGCCTGACTACTTCCCCCAACGACACACTGCATTTCTGGTGCCGATTGTTGGCTTTGGCGCCTTGAGCAACTGAAATACGCATTTACTGCGTGTGCATATTTCTTGATTGTTCCGGAACAAGTTGTTTGTTTATCAGTTTTTCATATGCGACAGTGAGGGACATTTAATCTGATTCGCACTGGTACAGGAGCTTCCGATTCCGACATTGATAGGAAATGGATGACGGTTGAAAACGTGACTTATGTTGACCGTTCTCGTCGGCGTTTTTCCTCAGGTTTCGACGTTGCGAGATTGTGGAAGTACGGTTGCAGCCGGAGCTACTGAGTTTATTGCTCCTTGTGACACTATGAGCAGTGATTATCGATTATTGACCGAGTTCCAGATTCGTACATAATGGCAATGATAGGTGATGAATTTTTCTTCGTTGTGTATCAGGGACAAGGCGTCTGCTATAGCTGCTATTTACTTGCTGGACGAGGACATGTGGAGAATGGCCAGGAATAGTTTTAATCTACCTATCGCCCAGCTATTCGTCGAATGAAATTGATTTTCAGCGATGACGCCTGGTCTCGCAGTTTGTTTATGGTTTGCTGACTGAGGACACTTTGTATGGCTACGACATTCACTTGAAGTATCCAGCGTATCTGACTCAGTTTGTGACTGGAATCACTGGCATAGGCGGTTGAGCAATTATGGGCCAAGCTCGTTTGCTGTGATACCGGAACTGTAACGACTAACTAACTAACTAACTAACTAACTAACTAACTAACTAACTAACTAACTAACTAACTAACTAACTAACTAACTAACTAACTAACTAACTAACTAACTAACTAACTAACTAACTAACTAACTAACTAACTAGCTAGCTAGCTAACTAACTAACTAACTAACTAACTAACTAACTAACTAACTAACTAACTAACTAACTAACTAACTAACTAACTAACTAACTAACTAACTAACTAACTAACTTACTAACTAACTAACTAACTAACTAACTAACTAACTAACTAACTAACTAACTAACTAACTATCTAACTAACTAACTAACTAACTAACTAACTAACTAACTAACTAACTTACTTACTAACTAACTAACTAACTAACTAACTAACTAACTAACTAACTAACTAACTAACTAACTAACTAACTAACTAACTAACTAACTAACTAACTAACTAAATAACTAACTAACTAACTAACTAACTAACTAACTAACTAACTAACTAACTAACTAACTAACTAACTAACTTACCTACTAACTAACTAACTAACTAACTAACTAACTAACTAACTAACTAACTAACTAACTAACTAACTAACTAACTAACTTACTTACTAACTAACTAATTAACTAACTAACTAACTAACTAACTAACTAACTCACTCACTAACTAACTAACTAACTCACTAACTAGCTAACAGGAACGGAGCAAGTATGGGGAAACCCGATAACGGTGATGTTGAAACCTTGACTGACTAGCTAGAAAAATAGTTGGGGGACAAGACATTGGCTTCCAGATCGACATAGCCTTGAATGGGAACAAGGTACAAGTCCTGGGAAGTAAAGGCGGCCGCCATGATGCTGATCCCATTAGCCGCTAAGTGTCAATTGGTCAATAAAATATAATTCTAACCCTATAGGCTTGAAGACTTAACTGCAGGCCACGCAAGGGTATGTTTAGTGTTGAACTGCTGCACATCTAAGTAGTCATTATACAAGGCTGGGATGGGGGGGGGGGGAGAGAACGCAATCCTGCTAGTACCGCTGTTATCATTATCTGAGCTGTACTTAGTTTTTCTTCTGTATGTTGACCGGCTGTAAACTCCGGTAGTAAGACCGGACGCCCGTGTGCATTGTGCGCGCGTAAAAAATCTCTTAGCAGTTAGAAATCGAAAGGAGTAGCCTAACGGCTTTGCCCTGGGAAAAATTAGGAGTTACAAATCTAACCAAAGTATTTTAGGATCCTCGCCGGTGCTACAGAACCTGTGCCCTGTGATGAGCTTCTTGGGACTCAGATTTGAGTAAGCTGAAGGACGGAGCACTTATGGGTTACTACCCGTGTGCCATGATGTTGATCCGTTGTTTAAACGTCAAACGTCTATTACTATTGCAGTAAACAACAGAGCACTTATTTTATATATAGGACCCTTTTCCAGGCTTTCATGCTAAACTTCTAATGTATAGACTAATATTCGCTTGCTGGGTGATGTGGTCACCATCACGCCGGCCGCCACTACTTCCCACGACTTCACCTGGTACCCACTCAGTGCTAGGTCGACCTGGAAGCCACGGCCATTTTCGAAAGAAATAAACTTTGCTTCCATTTGGAATTGAACCCGCGACTTTTCAATCCGCAGGCGAGCATCTATCTTCAACACCACGGGAGCTTATTATTTGTCTACAATGAGAATATAATACGTCCCCATCCGGACTAGGATCGGTTTGACTTCAGCGAAAGCAGAAATGTTAACTATATGCAGCAAAACATTCCAGAACCCAGCTAAATATTCAATGTGGATCTAGCTAATGAAATTCGCCTCCCAAAATGCGGACTGTTTAACCAGTCTGCTTACAATATCCCTAGATTAGGGCTGGATGGGGTGGAGCGTCACGCGCGTGTATTAATCCACTACCGGAGGACTGTCCCAAGGGTGTGCGTCAGAGCAGGGCGTGCGCGTGGCTGTCCATTTGTTGTGGATGTAAATAATTGAGGGAGCTGGCGTAGGAAGGTGAGGCGGTGTTGAGAGGGGAGCATTAATGAGTGTCTCGGATGGAGGGAGTTACATTCTTGCAATACTGCAATGTTAATTTCTGGTATGTATTGGGGTGATCTGTAACAACGAAAAGATGAATTGCCATCTGCACTAACTTGCCTAAATATTTTAGCAAACAGCTCGTTAGGTTGCCGTACACAGCTGAACCTGTTTCCCTCTCTGGATAAAGCTGAGCACTTTT